GGTGTGAATATGTTGTTGTTGTTTAGTCGTTTAGTCGTGTCCAACTCTTCGTGACCCCATGGACCAGAGCACGCCAGGCACCTCTGTCCTCCACTACTTCCCGCAGTTTGGTCAAACTCATGCTGGTAACCTCGAAAACACTATCCAACCATCTCGTTCTCTGTTGCCCCCTTCTCCTTGTGCCCTCCATAAGCAGTAAAGAACATGTGGTTTAATTCTCAGCTCAGCCGAGGACTCAGTGAACATAGCCTTAGGCAAATCACCTAGGAACATAGGAAGCTGCCTTACATTGAGTCAGTTTACGGGTCCATCTAGTTCAGTATCGTCTACACAGATTGACAGTGGTTCTCTAGGGCTTCAGAGAACAGTCACTCCCAGTTTTACCTGGAGATGCCAGGGATTGAAGCTGACACCTTCTGCATGCAAGGCACATGATCTACGACAGAGCTATGGCCCTTCCACCTTTCAGCCTGTGTCATCATCAATAACAGAGGACACTGACACCAGCCCTTCTATCTACCTACCTATGACAAGTTTCATGGTCAAAACCAAATGGTAAAATCAGAGCAATCCCTTCATTTCAGTGCCAGCTATGAACACACACCCTTTTTCTCGGATTACTGTTGTTGCTGGCAGTATATAGCTCTAAGTATTTGCATTTTATACAAAAGCCTTTGCTTTTCATTCACAGTCAGACCTCACAAGTGAATCCCTTTCCTCAATATTCTCATGGCAAAGTCACCCCTTTCTCTTCCATTAGGTCAGCCAGCTGAACAATCTGCACTTCTGACCTCTTGACAACTGATCAGCTCAGAAAACTGAAAATTATTTCTGTAGAGGAGGTACTTAACTCCTTAACACCTTACCGACCACATGGCCTCTCCCTCTTCAGTTTAAGAGGAGGCAACTAAAAAGACACAGTGGCCCTTGACTTTTATCTCAGACACATTCACAGTACTCTAATAAAAGTCAACCACAATTTTCAGCTGCTAATAATGAAAACCTCCAAAGGTGATACATCCTGATGAGGGAATGATTTGGTCTCTCCTCATTTATGAGATCAAATACCCCATGAACAGAATGAATCAATTGTTGCACAATGTACATGCTTGATATGAGATCACAGTGGGTACTCAAAATGATTTCACTTTTTGATTTGTTCACTCTGGTACATACACAGTGGCATTTGCGTATGTGTGCCTTATACAGATACAAATTCATTTAATCCAAAATGTAATGAAATATGTATTGTTGAGTTACCTGGCCTATGGAAGATCCCCAGGTGACTCCTTACTCCAGGAAGTCTCCCTTGCCTTCCTCCTGGTTCCCAGGTGCTTCTTTGAGTGAATTCTGGTGTTGCAAGTCGGCTCACTAGGGGATCAGAGTTGTGGGGGAGAAGCTGCTATTCTGCCATGCCCTTTAATCTGAAGCAAAAGCTATGGTCTCTATCGTTACATTATAAGTGGCTTCATGCTGGCAAAAGTCGGGGATATTCATCATGAAATGGGACAGAATAGCAAAGAATCATTAGTAGTTGCTAGGCAACTCCCGATATGCCCTCTATGGCCAATTGTGACTCTTCATAAAAAGTGCATAGTGCATCAAGCCACAACATACTTTTTGTGTATTTCATGTTTTGTTGTACTTGTAGATATTGTTCCATATCACCTTGATGTTTTATATGAGTCAAGAGTGTATATATTTATAAATGAATTAAGGTAAGGAAACTATTCAGTTGGACACCGTCTAGATGTAAAACGAGAAGCTAAGCAACTGTACTATGAATCAGAACGTTCATGGCTAGAATCTTACCACAAACTAAGTGGCCTCCATGCTACCAAGGCCACCTGAGCCTAAAGTGACAGCAAAGGATCCAGAAGTACCTTCAAGCTGTTTACCTGCACACTGGGTTGACATTTTCCTCAAGCCATCTACTATGACCCCAATAACTTCTTTCTGGTCTGTCACCACCATCTTTAAAGAAAGCCTTCTCGCCTCTAATAGCTGCTTTGAGTCTACTTGTTAACCATGCTGGGGTCCTCTTGACCCCCAAGGTACCCCAAGTTGTTCCACTCATGCATTTTTAAAGTTGAACACGCCCTTCTGATATTGTGGGCCATCCAGATCATGTGGTTACTCCCCATGCCAACATCAAGGGAGCCCATGGCTTCTATCAAGGGAGCAATTTGGTTTGCTGTTATATTTAAGATACACATAGGTGGTAGATATGGGGAGTGCACACCATTCAAAGAAAAATGAGTTTTAAAAAACAGTAATACATTCTTGAAAAAGTTGTGGGATTATTGAGAAGTAAGCCCTATGTGAGGCTACACTGATATTGATATAAACAATCAATATGCAAATGTAATTTGCCATATTTTAAAAACTGCTATGGGCACATTGTGCTTTATTCATCACCTTCTATGTTGTGGTAAATAAGCTGCATATGATAGATAAATATGCATACATATATTGCAGCAGTGCTGATCAATGCAAGTTAGTTTCTGCTTTTCCCAGGTATTGCTGACATGCTTAAAAAACATGTTGCAAAATCAGTTTTGGCAAGGGACGATGGTGGAACAGCAACAATGAATGTGTACAGAATTGGCTAAGATGGCTTCATAATACCATTTCCAGCCAAGTTCTGTTGCTGCAGTGAATTAATTGCAGTATATTACATTTATATCCTGTCTTTCCTCAAAGGATCTCAAGGCAGCACACACAGTTCTTGCCCATTTTATCCTCACAACCTCACTGTGAGTTATGTTAGACCGAGAGAGAGTAACTGGGTCAAGTTTACCAATGGCAGAGTGGGGATTTGCACATGCTTCTCCACAGGCCTAGTCAAACCCTCTAACCCAACAACACCACACTGGCTCTCCACTCTGAAAAGTTATTAATATATAACACCATTATTAATCATTACAATAAGTTTTTGTCTGTCCACACCCTAAGGTTCCTGAATCCTGCTGACAAAAGGCTGGTGGTAAAGTTAATACTGTTGCTCCTGAAGCATGCAATCTGAAGTTAAAGAAACAGTAGTACAGAATAAAGTAGCAAAGAAGCAGAGAGAATTTAAGAGTCCTGTTTGCAACACATGTGTGCATATAAAGAAGAAGAAGAAGAAGAAGAAGAAGAAGAAGAAGAAGAAGAAGAAGAAGAATAGTAGTAGTAGTAGTAGTAGTAGTAGTAGTAGTAGTAGTTTGGATTTGATATCCTGCTTTATCACTACCCGAAGGAGTCTCAAAGTGGCTAACATTCTCCTTTCCCTTCCTCCCCCCCCAACAAACACTCTGTGAGGTGAGTGGGGCTGAGAGACTTCACAGAAGTGTGACTAGCCCAAGGTCACCCAGCAGCTGCATGTGGAGGAGCAGAGACGCGAACCCGGTTCACCAGATTACGAGTCTACCGCTCTTAACCACTATACCACACTGGCTCTCATTGGAACATAAGCAGAGCCTTGCTGGATCAAACCAGAGGCCTATCTAGTCCAGCATACTGTTCTCACATTGGCCAGTCAGATGCTATGGAAAGCCTGTAAGTAGGGTGAGGGTAATTTCACTCTCCTTTAACAACTGGTATTTAGAGGCAATGGTACCTTAGATACAGGAGCTGGAACACAGCCATCACTGATAGCCTCACACTCCATTAATTTGTCTATTCACCATTTAAAGCCTTCTACGGTAAGTTGGTGGTCACCACCACATCTCATGGCAGTGACTTCCATACTTTTAAGTACATGATGTGTGAAATAGTCTTTCTTTTTTGTCTGTTCAATTCAGCTTCATTAGAGAAGCCTGAGTTTTAGCATTTTTCTCCATATCACACATAAAATACACACCTCTATCATGTATTATTTGATAATTTTCCTAAACTGCCCCAAGCATTGTAACTCATCATTTTGCATGCCCCATTCTGCACCTTTTCTAGGAATATTGAGGGGGGGGGGGAAATCTGTATATTGCTTCAACTAGAGTGACCCTATTAGCCAATCTAATTGCCATCCCAAAGCAAATGTGGTGGTTTTGGGATTAAACTCATTTGGAAGCAATGGCTAATTTTCATTTATTTGAATGGCAGCAATAAGAAAATAATCAACAGGATTAGAGAGCTAATCTATGGTAAATGAAGATAATGACATTCACATAAGAAGAAACCAGAACTGGTATCTTAAAACAATTAGCTGTCCAATTACAATGCAACAAAATTGCCAGTCTGAATCTCTTTACTCACATGAATATATAATTGTAGTAAGCAGTGATTAAAAAAATCTACAGCTCAGGAGAAAATGTATTAAGGATCAACTTCTGCAAGAGCTGAATTGAAGAATAGCACTAAAGCTATATACAAAGCCCAAATCTCAAGGTAAAGTCTCACAAAGCCAAAACAAAAACAAACCCCCCAAACAAATAAGTCCTCAGTTGTCTAAAACAGTATTCAATACAAGCCTCTGAAAGGTGTTATGTACTGATTTTCCCCCTACAGAGGCCACCAGTGGTGTCAGAAACAATAGCAAGAAAATATTTCCTCCCACTACGGATTCTGTGGAAAATGAGTATTACTTATTTTCACACTGAAAAATGAGAATGCATTCTTTACATTTTTGACTCTTCCGATTTTCCTTCCTAACACATCTTTCACAAGGCAAGTTGAAATGATTGAAATTAAAGACTGTCTGGATTTCCGTCTCATGCTTACTTTACTTTACTATCTATCTATCTATCTATCTATCTATCTATCTATCTATCTATCTATCATCTATCTATCTATCTATCTATCTATCTATCATCTATCTATCATCTATCATCATCATCATCATCTCTCTCTCTCTCTCTCTCTCTCTCTCTCTCTCTCCCTTTATTTTGTATACTGCCCTACTGCCCTATACCAGTAGATCTGCCGGTGAAGATCAGGATCCTTCCTCCTGAACATTTTTTATTTACATTTAATATGTTCCACTATAGGCTTTGCTGAAGAACATGCTGAAAAAAGAAATGTACCTTGATAACACTTTCTCCAGGCCTCATGTCTGTGTAAATCTTGACGTTATATGATATGTTGGAGAAGGTTGGAGAGTTATCATTTGCGTCAATCACAACAATATTGACTGTGACTGGGGGGCTTTCTTGCACACCATCAGAAGCTATCATCTTCAAAAAAAACAGACATGAGAAAAACTTTGAGAAAAAAAATACAATTAAATGAACATAATAATTCAAATATAACTGAAACTGAGCTTGAGCACATAATGCACACAACCTCAGTATACTGATTAGAGCAGTTCCTGAAAACAATCACTTTAAAATCCCATTTCAAAACATTTTCCAGGTGAAGAATTATATCCAAGAGAACCATGGGGAAAATGTTTTATTTTAATTGGTGAGCTACCTCCTTTTTATTCTCCTTTAGATCTATTCACACATTACCTTTTTTTAGGTGTAGATCTAAAGGTGTAAATTGAAAAGAAGGGTGTTGCTTAGGGAGCTAGGAATGGCTGCCGATCCCTGTCAGCAAATACTCACTTGCAAACTTGGTTTGCCCTGCATAATATGTGTGAAATTGCTCCCGATAATGTATAGATGAAGCAAAAGGAATAAGTAAGCTATTAAAATGATTAACTATCATCTGGGTTTCATGCTCCAAATTATGACTTGCAAGCCTGTAACACCTCCAGTAACAGTCGTTGTTCATTTGCTTATAACAAATGATCTCATTATAGGCAGAACCAATCAGCAGAGTCTACAGTCACAGAAGATGTGTAATGGGACAGTGGTGCTCACCTGATCTCCTCAAAGTAGTGACTCAGCTGTCGGGAGTCGGATGATGCCCACACTACCACCACACTGTACACTAATGTACCATACTGTGCACATGAAGGTAGCATGTCTCACAGGAGATTTGAAGTCTATAAAAAGACCCTACCTCCTGCGAAAGTACAAGGCACCAGATATAACTATATCTATATGCTTAACAAGGAATGCAACAAAGATGGTCAGCAGTATGGAAAACCAAGTCCACAAAGAGGAAAGGTTGAAAGAACTTGGTATGTTTATCCCAGAGAAGACGAGATTGAGTGGGACACCCAATGACTCTCTCAGATACCTGAAAGCCGATCCTATTCAAGAGGGCAAAGACTTGATGGCTGCTGCTCAACAGGCTGGGATTCGATCCAATGGGTTGAAGTTACCAGAGGGCAGATTGGCTGAACAGAAGGAGAAACTTTGCAACTGTAAAAGCAGCTTAATAATGAACTGAATTATGTAGGGTGGATGGGTGGGCTCCCCATTACTGCAGGTCTTAAAGCAGAGGCTGGACAGCTGCTCTTGTTATGGATTTCCTGCGCTCAACAGGAGGGTTCGATGTCACTGCCTACAAGACTTCTTCCAATTCTATGATTTTGTGAAATAGCTTTCTTAAAATGTATGCCGATTTGACATATCCGGCAAAAATATCCTACTTGTTCTCCAACTGTTACAATAAACCAGCAACTGAACTTTGCTTACCGAAAAGGTGTACAGCTGTTGGAGCTCCCTGTCAACTGGTTGAAGCAAGGTGAGGTAGCGAGTTATGCCAGTCTGAGTCACAGTGAAAAACGTGTTGTAGTCGTTTAGAAAAATATGGAGCAGGGGGTCCTTTGTCTTGAAAGAGAAATGAAGAGAATGGTTATTACATTCTCAAAGGTCTAGTAACAATATGCATGCAGGCTGTTTTATTTATAGTACTATGTATCTAGACATACAATGACATTTGGGAGGAAACACAATACAGTTTACCTAAATTGCCGGAATTACAATCTCTTCTTGAATTGGAGGGAGGTGCTGGGGAGGCAGTCCTTATCCCCACTGCACCGTTTTCCTTTTAACCAGAAGTGCCATTGAAAAGCCATCAGCCTTTTCCCAAATAATTTGAGCTCTGATCATAACTGTCTTTTGGCAATTGGGCATTTTAGCAATTATTTTGAGATCAAACTTTTAAAAAGCAGTGGGAGGGTGAAGACTCCAGCCACCTGCCAGATGAACAAAACCGCAGTCCATAGCGAAAGCATTATACCATTCGCTGATAACATATTTGCTAAAAACAGCCGTTCTTACAATGCAGATTTCAACACGCCAAAGGGAAGATGATAATTTATGATTCAAAGCATCTGCTTCCATTGAAGGTCTTGAGAAAGCTGCCAGTATGCTTAACGTAATTGGGAAGCACAATAGCTTTGACATGTTGGCAACTGGTGTGAGGCTGTTGCTTGTGTGTCATAGAACAAAGGGCTGAAGATCTCCATTTCTGCCACAAAGCGAGCCATTTAGAAAGAATCAGAGTGAAGGATCTTTTGTTTTCTGTATCAGAAAAAAGGGCCCACATCACTGGGAAATAAGAGGATTCCCTTGGTTTAAAAAATAGTAGAAGGCATTAAAAATGGCTAAGTTTCCAATGTGATGGAGCTCTTTTCTTTAATTCATATAGAACCAGAGGCGCCAGCTTGTAAGGGCAATTGCAGGGTCAAAATCACACATGTGATACCAGAATGTTGAGAGGAGCTGGGGGCAGAGCGGAATGCAGTGGCTACAGGGCTTCAACGGCTGGCAGCTCCTCCTCCACCTGCTTCCACCTTTCTTCCCCTCTGAAGCAGCAGCAGGAGAAAGAGCTAGCTGCTGGAGCTGTTCCGCAGTCAGCCTCCTCCACCCCCTCAACATTGGGCAGCCCTAGCCGCCTCCCAAAAGATATTGAGGGGGCCCAAAACCGCTCAGCTCCCAGGAGCTGGTGTCCCTCTCTAGAACTGTTTTAAAATGTTGGGTTGGATCCAGGCTTAGAGTGAGATCCACTGAAATCAATGAGACTCAAGTGAGTCATAAGTAACTTACTGGGTCAACTTTAAGAATGGATCCAACACACCGCAAATACTCTCAACCTACAATACTTTCCTCTGCAAAGTGTACTCTGCAATACATATTTGAACACTGTGACCAAAGAGCCCAGAAGATGAAAAAATATAAAAAATAAGCATGGCCCAAGCTGTGAGGAGGTGGTGGGTTTTTCCCTTCATTCAATTTGTTACAGTTTTGGGATTAGTGAAAATGTTACATTTCTGAATAAACAAGGCAGCACCATGTGCCACAAAGGCAGCCAAAGAATGTGCTCCCCAGGTCAAATCCCGTGAAACTGTATTTTTGCAATGCTGTTGTGAATAGTATTTGTGAGATGCTATTGTGGAGTATGCTGTGATAACTGAAAGTCATCAGACTCCTAGGCAGCAAGCCAGCTAAGAAGAGTAATAAAGGTCTCATTCCACACACCAATTTTCAGACAGAACAACATCAGGACTTCCCATTTTCAAAAGTTTCCATATAATTTTTCTGCAAGTACTGCAATAACGTTTATTTGCTAAGCAAATATGTATTATAAAAACCTTGTAAACACCCATTAATGTGACACACTTTCCTTTTACCAGCTAATTGAAATATCGAAGCCTTGTAAGATATTTCAAAAGGAAGTTTCTACAGGTGGTCGCTCGTGTTCCAACAAGTGTTAACAGCATCACTGCAACTGACAGGAATAGGAAGAGAGAAACCAGGGAAAGTACTAAGGATCTTTTTCACACGTGATGCATCTCTTTCCCCCATGTTCTGCATTCTGTCATACGTCAGTAGCACTGCTGTGTGCAGACAAGAAGTAGGAGAAATACAGGACAGTGTGCAATGGGTGAAAAGGGGGTAAGGAAGAGAGATGGTAGCTTTAAACATGATGTGGCTGCCGCTTCTTCAGAAGAGATAATCACAGTTCTGATCTTCAGATGAAGTATGGAAACAGAGAAAGGAACGCTGCTATTAAATAGGTTTTTTCTTCTTCCGAAATTAGTGTTTTGAAAAAGTATATTCAGCAAAAGACAGCTCAATATTTTTGTAATTTTTTTTAGACAGGAAGAAAGGTGAGAAAAAGTAAAGTCGATGAGTAGGAAGGAGTTAACACACCAACACAAACATCTAAAAATACCTACAGGAATGGCACCTGGTGGGACCTAAAAAACAAAACAAAGCAAATAGAAAATAAAATAAGTGTAAGCAGTAAATTTATATAATGCCTGGAACCACTTTAAAAAGCTATTGAAATAAGACATGTAAAAGCAATGGACCACCAAACAAAAGCACTATCAGGATCTTCTTTCCTCTGTAAAGGTTACAAATTTAGACTGAATCTAACACTCAAAACACTTTCCCTTTATAATCACCATTGATATTTCCCTATTCATGAAAGGGGAGTCACAGGCTCATGTGCATTCTCTCTTCGGAAGTTAACAATGCTCGCACTGTTAGATCACACGCACATGTTGTGATTTGCAGGAAACAGAAGTAATATTTCTGCACCATCTCTTAAGAATGTTAAAAGGGTAGAAGGAGGAAGTAGAAGTAAAAAAAAGAGAAAGCTACCTGACTGGTAAGTGGTTAGTTGGGGCAATTAGAATTCCTAAATAACGTTTATACAGGTACACTGCGGTTCCCCAACACCTCTTATGGAAAACCAGTGTTGGTTATTCCTCAGAAAACACTGTGTTTATGAAGATAAAGCTTTTGAACAAAAGTAGAGGTTAAGGGTGGAGTCTGTTGTTGGCCACAGTAACCTAACACCACTGTGTTCATTTCCAATAATATGAGGATGTTATTTGTACTAAACAGCAGGAGCTATAAATTTGGATATTGGATAAAGTCCCACTATATTGATTCACCCAAGGTCTTGCAACCGTTGTAGAAAAAGCAGGGGTAAAGCCAGAATTCATCTTGCCTTTGTCTCCAGCCAGGGCAAAGCAAGGAGCATAGACAGAACTGCATTGACTCTGGGTATTTCATCAGAAAGCCTTCTTAGTCCTCAGGGTGACTCCGTCTCCTAGGACACATGGAGCAGTGCCTTGGGAAGAGGCCCTGCTCATAACTTTGCATATTGGGAGCTGCACCATACATTTAGAAGCACCACAGCAGAGTAGCAGCACAAGGAGCTGAGGATGCTCACTGCCCCTTGCCACAGACTAGGAAGGAGGTGTAGTCTTGCCTTGTGGGGAGAAATGATACTACAGGGTATGCAGAATCGGCACCCGGCTCTCTGGTGTTTAAGGAGGTTGTAACTTCTGCCCTGAAGTTTGTTTAATGCCTAATGACAAAGGGGCTGTGGAAATCCATATAGTGCATATCTTGGAGTAATTATGGGTGGGACAGAAATGTCTTCTTAGAATATCATCTAGTTAGATGTGGATGCAAACTCAAATAAAGGGGTTGAGCTGAGCTCTAAGGTCTGCAGTAACCTTTGAGAATACATAAGGGACTGAATATAGGCTAAAGAGTAGTATTCTGCTCTGAGCTGTATGTGAACCAACCAAACCTCCAGGGAACTAAATGGATGTAAACACAACAATAAGTTTCAGTTTAGTGAACAGAAGTTCAAAAGATTCTTTCCTGAATCACCTTGGCAATGGATTTCAACATCTCCATCACAAATTTTGTTTTTTGCCAGTAATCTGCTGAGAAACTCCAAATCCAGAATGGTTTCCCTGTTCAATTGGCAACTGTGAAAAATATTGCAAATGATGGCCCAGAAGGACCATCTTTGCCACACACATGGGATTACAAACTATGGTATTAGAGGTAAGGTACAACCAATAGAGGTTATAATTGGCTTCCATGGGAAGTCTCTCTCTCCCTGAAAGGGACAGAGCATTTTTTCAGGGCCAATTGAACTGTGCCAGAGGGACCATACTGACTAACTGTCTATGTTAGTTTCCCTGAGTCACACAACAAGGTTTATAATCCCTTTCACACTGTCTTAAACCATAATATGCCATGTTGCTTTACTGACTGTGGAGCCTGCATTATGCCAGCTGTTGTTGTTTGCATTTATAATTTCCTTCTATTGTAGATCAGCCTTCTGGGTAGGATAACATAGATAGCTCAAATGCATAAATCACTTTGTGGATCACAAGTTTCACAGGCCTCATCTAGACATTCTGCTACAGAGTTAATGTTGAGCTTGAAGCTAATGCGGAAGTCTCATGCTAAAATGAATACTTAATGTTCTACACTAATTCCATGTCTGAGCTTGTGAACTCCACACAATTATTAACACTAACTTCTGTCTTTCGATTCAAGAGGGAAAATGCATGTTCATTAATTTTACCAAATCTTCAGATGCTCATGTTCTCACATGCAGAAATCAAATTGTTACACCCCAGGGGTTCGTCTACAGGGAGTTAAATTAGCATTGGATCTTTATTTCTGTTTTTGATTTAATGCAGGAAAACAAATTTACCGTGTTTTAATTTTGAATTAAATATTTTTGATAATATGTAAATGAGATTACAGTGATGTTAGTTGACAAAGTTGACTCTTTAAAAAACTTGACTGAAAATATTCTTGAAAAATTACTTAAGCATCTAATTCTATCCCCCCTTCCTTTTCCCTGTGCTGCCAATTGAGTCTATCTAGTCACAGACATACCTGTTTTGACATATGAGCATTTATTTATATAGTCTGATGACCTATTTAAAAGCTTCATGACCCCCAAAGCTCCACTTGCTTTTAGCCCTGCTAAAAGTCCAACAAGCTAATGCAAGTTCTGCAGAGTCCTAATGCTCCTGTATTGCTTCTGTAAACTGGTAGTCAGAGATGCAAAATCTAGGAATCCAATAGCCACAGGCTCCTAAAATACTGGAGCGAGTGACAGCCATCTGAACTGCTGGTGAGGTTGGGAAGGAGGTTTCTTCTCTTTCCAAGGATGATGCAGCTGCTAACAGAACTTGGCCACTGCCTCTTCTTACTCCTGAAGTGGTCCCTACCTAAAATTCCAGGAATGATTATAAATTTATCAACATCCCAGACCTGAGCAACCAGGAGGAAGTGCTGTAGCTCAGTGATAGAACTTTGCATGCAGAAGGTCACAAGTTCAATTCCTGGCATATTCAGGTGGGACTGGGTGAGGCTCTGAAAACCAGTCAATGTATTAACATTATCACCACCATCCTGCCCTTTACTCTATGGTCCCAGGGCAAGATACAACATTCAAACAGAACATTACAAATTAGATAATACTGAGCTGGATGGACCATTGGTCTGACTCAGTATTAGGCAGCTTCCTATGTTCTTAGGCGTCTAATGCCATCAGTGAAACACGTTTTTTCTCTCTCTTCCTCCCCACCCACTTATCCTGGCAACAATGGGTCAGCGAATTTGGTGTCTTCAGTACTATCTAGATTCAATATGCTGACAGGTCATGCTGAACTAAAAAGCCTCCTTCCAGTTTCAAAATGAGCAGTAGGCTGGGTAAAATCAGACAAGAGGAAACAAGGCATTTTGGAAGTCATCCCAACTGCCTATCCCCACATGTCTCCACCTTAGGACCACATTGTATGTCATGGTCATCAGATGCCAGCTGCTAGTAAATAATGCATCCATCAAGAAAGTTCCTCCACATGTGCATGTGTATTTGAAGATCATGCACCAGGCACTTTTAGGAACTGCAGCAACAACTTTCAAGGTTCTGGAAGATTGTGATGGTATGAAGGAAAACACCATAAAAAAGTGAGGCATGATCCTGGTCCTATAGATTTCGGCGAGGAACAGCACTGTTAGCAGGTGGCACTTAGGCCTAAGCCCCAAGCCTTTTGCAGTGGATCCTGTCCCTACTCCGTTTTTTAAACTTGAAAAAGAATTTACTCACTGGGAGATGCTGCAAAAGAACAGTGCCAGTAAGACTCCACCCACCTAACCTCTTAATTTGCCCAGTGGGAAATTAATGTATCAGGTCCAGAATATCTTGTTTTCATCCCATAGCTCAGAGTAAACTAAAGCTGGATTTTTGTTTTTACCTCTGAAATTCTGTCTAAATTTGCATCACAAACAGGATTTGCTCTATGTGCATATACTATGTGTGAATTTGTGTCATGAACTTGTGCCCTGAATCTTTTAAGTATCTAGAAATTCTCATGTCACTGGGCAAAATTTAAACACGTCTTTAATTCTCTCATTCAAATCTATTGGACTTGAAAGTGCCCACTTTTGGCTGGAACATGCCCATCACATTTTTATATTAAAACCTTTCAGTAAGTCATGAAATATCTCCTTGTGCTATGATCTCTCCTGCCTTTCTGGATAGAAACCCATTCCTTACCAAGGACCACACGCTGCTTTTGAAACACATCTCATCCTGCATTTATCCTAAATGAAACTCTAAGCATTTTCTTCACTCCTTCAAAAATTCCTAAGGCTTCATTTCAGCATGGGTTATGAAATTTGCTTATAAAAAAGTCACTCATAAACCACCTGTTATTTCACACATTTTCAGAATTGATCCTTATGTATGCTAGTTTGTGTTAGATTGGCCTAGTTAGATGTAAAGGAGGATAGAGGGGAACCCTGCAGGCGTGGCTTTTCCCTACTAAGAGGCAGGCAATCGAATACAATAGAGCACATTCTAAAATAAATAAATAAATAAATAAATGGGGAACTCGTCAAACATATGATTGAAGGGGGATTGGTAGAACAGGAAGGCATCTAGCTATGGCTGCATAAAATAAACTAAATATGAGAAAGGGGAGGAGACATATGCTGACCTCAAGAGGCTTGCACAAGACAGAGAAGAGCGGAGACTTGGTGGAGACCAATCTATGGGGTAAAACATGAGAAGAGTAGCTTTTCTAACTACTACATTATAAGGTGTATGCCCTCTGTAGAAGTCTTGAAAGTACCGGGGTCCTGCCCTTCTCTGCATCTAGCCATTCTGCCTATGTTATGATTGGGTGGTGACAATCTGTGAAGTATCTGTGAAAGTATCCACAGTATCTGTGAAAAAGCATCCAGGTTTATCCACAGTATCACTTTAGACTTTACCATGAAGAATATTACAATCTGCCTTCTACACAATGTTTTGTTTCCTTCTAAATGGCAAAAACGTATCTTTTTACTACTATAGATGAAGTTTCAAAACTTCCTTAGCTAACCGTCCTAATGGTTAATCAAGCCTTATTGTTAAACTTTGTTCGCCATTCCTGCCTGAATTTGTCTAATGGCTTGAACTAATCAGAAAAAACCCTGAATCAGAGCCCCTTCAAGTACATTATTGCCATTCTAGCCTGGAATTGAATCACTTCAGTTGCAAAAGCCACTAGAGAAAATATTTCACTGCTTTTTAATGGATCACAGAAACAAGAGATTAGCCTGAAACAGTCTTTGTACTGTGGGAAAGGAATCTGTTGAGGATTGTTTCCAAAAATTCTGATCTTTATTTTAACCCATTTTTGTGTGTGTGTGTCACATGCAGCAGTTACACTGGTAAACCTTGGTGCAATCGGGATATTAAAAATCTATTTATGAAATCATCCAGCGTTTATGGACAAATATGGCATTTCACAGAGCACACTTAAATGTTTTAACAATGCAAAACACAAACCTCTTCTACATCGTTATCCAAAGCTATGATCTGCAGTGGAGACGTCAAGTTCTGGTTATCTGAGATCGTTGTACCCACAGGGGAGGACTCTAAAATAAAGCCCTCGTATGCTGCTTCTGTGAAGTAAGGCTTCTGATTGTTTTCATCTAGAACTTCAATATGTAGATTGGCAAATGCTGGAAGAGGATGACCATTGTCTTGTTCTGCCTACAAAAGCAAAAAGCGTGTTTGTTACTGGTAAAGTTAGCCCCCATCCAAGTAGGGCTATTAACTCCAACAGAATTTATTTATTCATTAAAAACATTTGTAAGATGTCTTTTAGGAGGCCCTTGCAAGCCAGCTTCCAAAAACATTATTACAAATCTTAAAAACCAACCAACCAGCCACCACACACACACACACACACACACACACACAGAGAGAGAGAGAGTAAGAACAAATTGTTAAATAACCATAACTGGCAAAAGCATTTATTCTTATAAATAAATAACCAAATAATATTAAGCATTGCACTCAAGGAAGGACAGTGCATAAGACACCACATTCCAGAGGTCATTGTCATTTTGAAGCCCCAAGAAAGATCCCATGTAGTGTGATCAGGCATGTGCTTGTGGAACAGGGCTTCTATACCCTCTCCTGGTCCCCTTCACTTTCAGGCCCCTACTCTAGCAGGGGTAGGCAAACTAAGGCCCGTGGGCTTAGTTTATTTAAAATGCATCTCTGGGTTATTTGTGGGGCCTGCCTAGTGTTTTTACTTGAGTAGAATGTGTGCTTTTATTTAAAATGCATCACTGGGTTATTTGTGGGGCATAGGAATTTGTTCATTTCCCCCCCCCCCCAAAGTATAGTCTGGCCCACCACATGGTCTGGAAAAGGTTGCTGACCCCTGCTTTAGAGCGTTGAAGGGGCCTCCAAGAATATTTGGGGTGTATGAATGGAAGAATGGGGATTAATCTGCACAAGTTTGTTTCTGTAACACAGATTGGGAATGGGATACAAAACAGCAGCACATTGTTTAAGGAATGTATGGCTGGATCAGACCGATTTATCACTCCAATACTAAGTTTAAGAGCTAAGGACATACTGTCCTGGTGGACATGGTAGCGAGTGGAAAAGTCTACAGAGAAAAAGGAGTGTGCGAGTGTGTGCAGAAACTAACCTACTGTACAAAGGTAAAATTTACCCACATTTCCATTTCATGAAAACTTTTCTCTTGGAAGTACTGTGTTCATTTCACAATTTCTTGATTGAACCACTTGGCTTCTCTTCAGTTCTAACTTCTGAACCGTCTTATGGCAGGATCTGGGGCCTAATGGAGACCTTAAATGCAGCACCTGAGTTGAACCTTGGTCACTATTGTCCTATCTTGGTGCGTTAGGGAAATAGAGGGCAGCAACACTGAGGGTCTTGTGTCGAGCACTGTCGAAGGGGCAAGTCAAAATGAGTCCAATTAAAGATTGAGACCAGCCCTAATTGGATCTTGGGGGCTGGGATGGATGCCAGGAACTTCATAGCCTATTTAGGATTCCATCCCATCACTATAAATCTCAGCATCACCCATCAAATAATAAATATCTCCTTGGCGAGTAAGGAAAAAATTACTGACTGCATCACTGCTGCACATTCTAAATTATGTAGTAAAAAACACCACCTCGTTCATTTTAAAGGATAACCATTAATTCTAAATATCAAAGTCTACTCCAATTAAACACCAGCTGTGTCAGAAATAGGTAGAAAATGCTGATATGGTATTTTTGAACTCTTCCTACTTCCTCACCACTACATCTATGCACACACAGAGAGAATGAGGGTGGGGGTGGGGAGGCAGATAGGATGGCCAGGTTTTAAAAAATCTGTGTCAATCAGAAACATACTCAGAGGAAAACTGATTGCACTCAATTCCTCCACTACTAGAGACCATTTAACCACAAATAATCAGTGTAATGAATCTGTCACTTTCATGAGATGAGATTGTGCAAGTATTTAATATACGGTGTGTGTGTGTGTGTGTGTGTGTGTGCACAAACACAAGCACATGCATACACAGACACCTATGTTAAATATATACTTTCTTTTCTTGCTGCCCAAATTCAGTGCTGATCCTAACATCTCCCTTTCCTTGTGCTATAGGAGGGCAAAATTATCTGGACACAATACTATGGGCTGACTTATCGTACAGAGGGCAGGAATGACATAATCATGTTGTTCTCCTTCCACATGAAGCATCAACAGCAGCAAAGACTTATGGGTTTTTTGTTTTGCTTAAAAAAAAAGTAAACTGAGATCTCCTTCAATAAAAGTGCCAGGAATAGGAAAGTGTATAGCATTTTAGTTGTATTTGCCTTTAAGCTTCCCTGTAATTAACTCTCATCACCCTCAATTTTGCTAATGCTGCCTGGGGAAGATGGCAGTTCGCAAGACGAAAGAGTTTTCCGTTTTTTGAGTCGTTCCGCAAGACGAATTTCCCTATGGGCTTGCTTCACAAGACAAAACGTCTTGCGAGTTCTTGCGAGTTTGTTTCCTTTTTCTTAAAGCCGCTAAGCCGTTAATAGCCGCTAAGCTGCTAAGCCGTTAATAGCCGCTAAGCTGCTAATAGCCATGCTTCGCAAGACGAAAAAACCGCAAGACGAAGAGACTCGCAGAATGGATTAATTTCATCTTGGGAGGCACCACTGTAATGGTTGTTGAATAATATAACACCAAAACTGCAGTGCAGGAGAGCTGGTGCAAATTTCAGGGGGACAAGTAGCAGATGTGAGATGGGGGTGTCAATTTCCAGTAGGAAAACAGTGGTCCTAATCCTGTTTGGGATCCCACCATCGTTTTGCTTTAACTGAGACTGGGACTGCCCAGGACTGCTTTTCGTAAGGAAAGAGACATGGCCAGTCTAACCAAAGACATGGTCTGAAGAAGTTGAGTTTAGTCTTTGCTTTGAGGTTAGTGAGAGCTGGGAAAACCACATCTACTTTTGCTTCTCCAAAATGAAGACACTGCCCCAGGTATACTGAGAATTCTGCATTTATTTATTGTTTTGTTTGAAAATACCCATTTCATTTCTGATCTGTTGGCTAACTGAATATTTCCTATCAAATTGCCACTCAGTAAATACCCAGGTTGCTAATGGAGGACACTACAGTAGAGAAGTGTCTGCTTGGCTTTTTAAAAAAACTAAATGTTCACAACTAAGGAATGCACTGAAATGTTTTAATGACTAATTCAGACCTACTGGAGATCAACACACAACTGCACATAACAAAAAGATACATTTTCTTGTCTAGGAGCGTCAAAGGAAATAACTGATTATTCAACAAATCAGAAGCTATGTAATATTTATAAAAAATTTGAATAAAATTTGAGCCAAAAGTTATCCTTGCCAAATGCCTCCGGAGATCAGGGTGGAATGCTTTTATTGCTCTTCAAGCCTGACCTTGAAGGAAGTTTTGTGCTTTGATGAGAAACAAAAAGTCTCCAATCAATATTCATCTGGCTGAATTTATACCTTTCTGCCTATACTAATAAGATCAAATGCTGACAGAAGGGTCAACTAATGCTGAATATAATATATCTATATATATCCTGAGCATATTTAAGGGTGACAAGATGTAAGAACTGTTCATTAGCGGGCCTTTCCTCTCTAAGCCAGCCTATATGCCAATAGTTCTATTTTGGCAATTTCTGAGTATTCTAAGTACTTAGCATATATTTTTACCCACAGTGCTAATCTACCTAATGGAACAGCAACAACAGTTCTCTTCAGCTACTTTCTCAAAGATAGGAACCATGACACAACCCATCCCTGCCTCCAAGGTGCACAGCAATATGCCCAGCCATCACTCAATCATAGGAGGCCCTTCTGGACCTCACAGTACATTCAACTAAATAAGTATGTTGTAGAGAGCAGCTGCCAAGTGGCCTCCGAGACCATATAACACCAGTCTTGAAAGACCTACATTGGCTCCCAGTAAGTTTCTGAGCACAATTCAAAGTGTTGGTGCTGACCTTTAAAGCCCTAAACGGCCTCCGTCCAGTATACCTGAAGGAGCGTCTCCACCCCCATCGTTCAGCCTGGACACTGAGGTCCAGCGCCGAGGGCCTTCTGGCGGTTCCCTCACTGCAGTAAGTGAGGTTACAGGGAACCAGGCAGAGGGCCTTCTCAGAAGTGGCGCCTGCCTTGTGGAATGCCCTCCCAATCAAATGTCAAAGAAATAAACAACTATCTGAGATTTAGATGACATCTGAAGGCAGCCCTGTTTAGGGAAGTTTTTAATGACTGATGTTTTGATGTATTTTTAATCTCTTGTTGGAAGTGCCCAGAGTGGCTGGGGAAACCCAGCCAGACGGGCAGGGTATAAGAAGTATTATTATTATTATTATTATTATTATTATTATTATTATTATTATAGATCAAATTCACTGCAGATATATAAAAGCTAGCGTGTGCTCAAACCATCTCTCTCTCTTGCTGCCTAACATGCTCAGAAGTACCTCCCAGAACTTCTGCACGAGGACACCTCTCCTACTTCCATCAAATCCCTCTTCAAAACCCAACTTTTCTGTCAAGCCTTTGGGGTGGGCAAACCCCACTAGTTCTCATGTCTTACTGAAACTAAGCTTGCAATCAAGCAAGAGCATATGTCAAAGGCATATTCTTTTTGCCTAGTTTATCGCTGCCTCCGGTTCTTTACCTTTCCTGTCTTATCTTCCCTGTGTTGAACTCTACATTTTAAGCTCCTTTGGGCAGCGAGGTGCTCTCTTCGACTCTGCACAGAGATGGCTCTGTACAAATTAGCAATAATAATCAGAGGTCAGATTAATCAATCTGATTAAGGAAATTTGGAAGCCTTAAAACACAAGCAATAGAGACAATGTAAAGCAAAGTATCCTTTCCAATCTAGTGATTCTGCCTTTGTATCTTTCACAATAAGCAGGCAGGGTGCCCTCCTTTGCAAAGCGGTCCTTTGCACCTGTTCCTTCAGTTTACCTCACTCGCCACTCAACCAAATCCAACCTTAATTAGGTAGCCAGTGCAATTAAGTAGGGATCGTTGTTACTAATCAAGCTCAGGAATCCCTCACAGACCTATAGCTGCAAAGGGAAAGGAGCTAAAAACAATTCACTGCCTTTTCCTTCCCAGCCCCACATAATAATCATGGATTATCAGAGCAAAGCACAGTACACACACACACACACACACACACACACACACACACACACACACTGTTAATCAGAATTGTAATGGAAACTCTTATCATGTTTTGTAATTTGTTGGCTGCAACACAGTAGCAAAATTTTCACCAATCTATGTAAGCCCTTATTACAAAACAAGTTGCTAGTTCAGTATGGCTTTTTCATTCTGTGTTGTGGTTTTTGCTCTATGCTAATAGCCTGGGAGTTTGTCATGCTCCCACACTGATGTGTTAGTACATGACATCATGCATTCATGGGCTGATTCAGCTGATGCAACACGTTTCTCCTACTTAGGCTCAGGGCTGCAGTGATAGAGCAGCTTTCACACTGCATTCCACACAGGCTATCCATCATCCCAGGCTGGCCCAAGGCATTTTCCTGTCCGAGAAGTCAAGGTGCACAGTTCCCAAAGCTGGCCAGGTTATTTTGGTATATATGACAGAGAAGCATACAGGCACTACTCCAAGAGTAAAAAAAATAAACTAAATTAAGGAGCTAACAATTTCCTAACCTTTCATGATACCCTAGAATAGATCAACTGCCAGTTAGCAACCTCACTTTGCCTAATGGCAGGGCTGGTCCTGTGAAGTGTCACCCCTTTAGTAGATTTTTTCAGGAAAGCGGTTTTAGAAGAGAAAAGTGCTTAGGGGGTTCAGGTGATATTTAACCTGTCACCAACCCGACAAGGCAAGGAACCAGTCAAACTACTTCGAGCCACCAAGTTTTGTACACAGAGAATAATTCTCAAAAAAATTCATTGACTTATGGTCAATTGATCCTTCACAGAAGGCTCAGAATGATTCTATACTATCTTAAGAATAATACAAGTGGGATCTGCAACAAAATGTTGCAGTATACTCCAGTCATTACTAGCTGGTTGACATCTTCTTCCTTTCAGGATACTCCACTCCATTATTCCTTACCTCTATCCCGTCCAACAATCAGTCAGCATTCCATGACCTCTTGGTATGCTCAAACTTTGCCAGACCATTTCTCTCTCTCTCTCTCTCTCTCTCTCTCTCTCTCTCTCTCACACACACACACACACACACACACACACACACTTCTGCAAACCTTTGGTCTTCCACCAAATTATGGTACTATTTGGCCTATATAAGGATTGGCACTCAGTTAATTGAGGTATCTGTTAGTATGTATAATTCCCAACTTTTCAGCACAATTGTAGCACTATTCATTCACTGAATACTACAGCAGAGGTTCACAAAAATATAACAGAAAATTAATCCAAAATAATTTATCACATGAAGTATAAATTCAAGGGAACAACTTGTAATGGAAGTAGGGTAGAATCTTTCCCCAAGATAAGGACAAAGACTTTAAGATGGAAACAGATGAAAAAATATTTTTTGAGGGTATCATTAAAATTTGTACGGAAAACTTATTAATGCTGGTGCTACTTGGCTTTATGAATAGGTTTGCCTTCAGATATAAAGAGAGATATTTTGATGAGTTACACACTACAAAACACAAGCCCAGATAAGCAAATTTGCCACATCTTGCCAGCTTAATGGAACTTTCGACACTGTTGTGCTAAATGATACTATTCAAGCATGTGGCATATTATTAGTCTTACAGATTGATACCCTTGCTTATTATCCACTCAACTACTCACCAACCATGGTAATTCGAGTCTAATAATGCCTGTAAAAATTTCCATTAATAATATAGCCAGTTATTAAGGTACTACAATGTGGCCATGGGAAATTGGTGGGGGTTTTTCTTTTAAAGATTGTTATAGAGTTACTTAGCACCAATCCCCAGTTATTTTTTCCAGTAAAAACTAACAGGTATTTGTGAATGTGGGTCCGAACACTCAAATGTGTGAAAGCATTTGTCTTAACTAATGTCTATGCACATCTGAAGCATTCAAATAAGAGAAGTAGTCTAACAACTAAGGCATGGAAATTAATTTTTCAATAAATTCCCTATAATTAGTGGCATCAATAGCTGTCACATTTCTTAACAAATATTCATACGGAAGCAATATGGTTGTATATGTATATACACATGAAGAGAGAGAGAGAGAGAGAGAGAGAGAGAGAGAGAGAGAGAGAAAGTGTGCATATATTTACCATACTCAAATGGTAATAATCACCTTAAACAGCGTAAAACCATTGATACAGACAGTATATACTCGGTGTCCCTTGAAGCTTATATGGGTTTGACAGAATATACTGTGTACCCTCTCCCCTCCCTCTTGTTGGAGAGGGAGATAAAAACATCCCATGGCCTCTAGGATATCCTCCCAGGGACCATAGGACTGCAGCCTCACAGTGGTCACAGGTAAGAACTGTCCCCACTACATTCAGAATGAGATTCTTCATGGTTGTCTGCAGGGGGAAATCCCAAGTTACAATGAACTGTTTAACTTCCATTTTGTCAGCAACTGTGATTTCAGGGTCTTTTCATGAAGCATGAATATCTAGGGTAGGCTGGATTCTCTGACAAGCGCTCAGAGCCCATGGTGAAGTGGCAACAGAAAAAGTGCTATCTACTGGGGGAAATGGCTGTCTGAAGCTGCAATCATATGTATGTCAACTCAGAATAAGTCTTATTGAATTCAGAGTAACTAACTCCCAACTAAGAATATACAGAATTGCAAGCTAAGCCTCTCTACGGAATGAATGAAGAAATTTTCACTTCTAGCTTGTTACTTAAAATATTGAGTTTTTAAATCCCACACAGTCTTCCACATGAAATCAAATCTATAAATGTCAAAGAAAAAATATATTCAGGCATGTCTCAGATAAAGCTTGGGGTTTGTATTTTCTCCGAAAAACACAGCTCCTCAAGACAGAAAATCAAAACATGGTAGCCACAAGAGACTAACGTTAGGTGTGGGGAAGTCCTTTGAATGGCTTAATAATGCCTAACTTTGTATTGAATTATGGTCAGTAAAATTTATTGCAATATATAAAGGTAGTTGTAAAAAATACATTTTGTAGCAAATATTTCAGGCACAACCCAGCAAAAGTTCATTTTGATTTTGGTTGTAATCCTGTACATATTTACTTGGGCTACAAATAAAATTGATCTCAGAGGGACTTACTTCTGAGTTAACATGCATAAACATTGGGCAGCCTTCCCTAACCTGGTGCCATCCAAATATTTTGGACTGCAACTCCAGTCGCAGCCAGCATGGCCAATGGTCAGGAATCATGAGAATTTTAATCCAAAACATCATAATGGAGAAGACCGATCTGGGACAGAAGGTTCACTGAACGTAATGAAGTGAAACTAAATGCCAGCAAATGTTTGCTGGATGCCAAGTTCAGTGTGTTTACTCCCATGCAACATTATTGTCAAAGCAATTACAATGATATAGATCAGTTACTTCTAATATGGCATTGAATTAAACTTACACCTTACTGCTAGAAGAATCTTTGTTTATAAGTTGACGTTTCCCTTTTTTGTATAAGGAATCCTCACATTCTCCATGGACACTGCTACTTAGTAATGTACAAACACATGGAAATGAGAATTCAGTTGAAATTACCTTAATAACCAAATCAAATTTCTGGTGCAAATCCCTGTTTATTGGCTTTAGGAGGCTGAGTACAGCAGTTGTCGCATTCATACTGAAATACTGTGAATAATCCTCAGGAGTCCCTGCAAAAAGACAGCGAGGTTTGAATAGATAATTGAGAAGAAGGATCAGCATGGAAAATCACAACTTTATTTTAAATATATATTAACTCAAATAATCAATAAAGGAATAATTAAAAACAAAAAAACAAAAGAAATACCCTAGTGTGAATATTCGATAGAGCTGCGTATAAGAAACCCTTCTTTCTTTTTGACCTTGATCACCATGTTTAATAGGTTTAATATGTTTAAGTCTCAAGAGACTTTATTTTTTCATAAAAGAGAGATGAGTAGAAATGCCAGCATGCAAATATTTGAAGTGGAGAACACTTGATCAGCAGCTTTTGTATCAAGCCATCGGAAGCTCCATTATATGGAATCAAACCATTGTTCCACATCAGCTAGTAAGGTCTACAGCAACTGGCAGTGGCTTTCCAGGGTTTCAGGGCAGCAATCTTTCCCAGTCCTACTTGGAGATTCTGGGCCTTGATCTGAGGAACTTCTGCATGCAAAACATGTGCTCCTTTACTGCACTACAGTCCTCCCCCCTGTAATTCCTCCCAATGTTCCTGAAACATTCTTAATCCTTACAACATAGAATATGTACGGCATTTCCAAAAGCTGTAAAATTGCACACAAGAAAAGTGCAGGAAAATGTTATTACTCCATGCATACATACTTTTTTTGATCAAGGGGAGGGATGGAATAACAACTCTGAATGCAAACAAGAATAAAGATGACATCTATTTGCAATGTAACAAGAGACAGAACTTTCACACAATCTTACTTCTTTCCTGCAGGAAACAATTTTCTAGAACAATTTCTTAGAAGCATTACTTTACAGCAGCATACCCCATCTCTCCCAGCGCATCCGCACTTAGGCGTTTTAACAATTATACCCCTTGCTGTGCTGGAGATCTGTGTATAGAGCTCACCCATGCACAGAGCAGATGAATGTCTCTATCCATTGCACACAAAAATAAGAGAGGGGGAAAGAGTGAGTTATCTTCATCGCTGTCTTTAGGGTCTTCCATACAGAGTGGTTCCATTTCAGAAAGAGGATCTTCTTTTCTAGTTGTGAAATGATAGTATAGATTGCTGAGATTTGATCGGTAATGAAACGTATTGCAGGCTGCATCAAACTGCAAAACATTTCCTAGGGTTGGTAAGTGAAACACCATTCTGATAAACACTTTTGGGTGCACTTAGTTTTAGGGACACCAAATAGCCCTCCTGAATTCAGCTAGACATACATTCTGTTCCTTCACAACACCCCTGGCAGAGGCACAGGCTCTATCCAGATGGACTTTTAGATCTCCCCTGAAGGAAGAATATTAAAGCAGTGTTTCTGACATGATGTACCTACAGCATCAGTTCCAGCTCTTGATTCTGTAGTCAGGAAGAGCAGGCCTCCTAGTAGTTCAGAACTGCAGCAGGCCTTATGTAGAAGCTCTTATAGGGAACAGCGATAATCACTGTTGACCTATCACATGGGCCTATAATTGTAAGATGGATTCCTTGGCTGGTATAGCTGATTTCTCTGCAATTTATTTCTTGGGTGAAAGCTGAGTAGTAGTCAGAGGTTAACTCCTTGCCTGAAACCCTCACATCACACATTCAAGACCTATTGTGGGCTCTGGTCTGAACACGTGGGAAAAAACGGGCAGAAAAGTGTCTCTGTGCAGCATCAGTACATTCAAACTTCTTTTGGAATTGTGCTTCTTACTATGCACATAGGGAACGAAAGCCTATGCAAAAGTGCATGACGCGGTATGTTAATAAACCAATAACTCATGGTTGTAGCTGAATGCAAAGCTAGCACAGAATGGAGTGAGGGGTGCATGGATGTATATACTGAAAGTATTAATTGGTAATGCTGGCCGTTGTTAGTGCTACTATAATGAGAAGCGAAATAAATGGATGTTATTGTAAATTGTGTGTTTTCAGCTGGAAAAGACTACTGTATTCACCAAAGCTTACAGGAAGTGTGGGCTCTGTTAGGAAATTCTCATCCTGTAGGAGATTTGCCACTCAATCTTCTCTCTCTCCCTCCCCATACCCCTCTCTCTTTCTGCAGAACTGCCGACAGTGGAGATGACTAACCTTGAAAAGAGAAATTAACATTGTATGCTAAAACGAGTCCTGATTGTCTTTGTCAGAATGTGGCATGAAAGCCATGCCTTTCTGTGAATGGAAACTATCAAGCTATTGTAAAAATTAAATAAATGGAAAAGGGAATAGAGCAGCTGTATTCTATTGCATACTCGAAAGCAGTAAGTCAATTGTTCTGTATGTCTGGTGGCTAAAATTCAGACAAGAATAAGGCCGACTGTTGCGATGCTGGAAAAATCTGTTATGCATAGCAGTTCTAAGGATACAAGCATGGAAAGGAAATAGCATCTGAAATAGTCCTTCATAAGTACTGGCTATTTCTGGGGACAGTTAACTTCTTAGATAAGGTGGGATTGAATTATTCAATTTTGTATGGATAAGTCTAACAGTTTAAAATTAAAATAAAGGTTAATTTAATTGCTGACTATTCACTATAGAATTGTGTTTTGAAAAATGTTCGATCTATATCCCCCTACAGTTTCAATCTAGCTTGTCACCTTGGCAATGTTAAGTTATGGCACAGAGAAGGGATTGATCATTAGAAAACATTAGTTTATAAATGATGAAGCTGTACGTTGTAATCAAATTGCTGGAATTAAACAGTCTATGAATACCAGTATTTCCACCAGTATTTACAGACAGAAAGAGAGATAGACAGATTTAAATCAGAAACAAATAATAGATTGCATACAGAGTTAGAGGAGCTAACTGGGAGTTCTACTCATGCAACCTCCCTTTGCTCGGTTTTGCCCACTCTTCCATTCTTCAGCTCTGAGAGCAGCCAAGGACTCTGAAACAGTGGGAAAGAACCAGCTATATCGGGAAGAACATGTAAGCTGTGGAGATGCTGAATATGAACCCAGTCCCTGTGTCCAAGCCTGAGTCTGTCAGTCAAGAGTCCCTTGAGACTGAGATTCCCAAACTTGGGCCCCAAAGAGAGCATCTTTCTTTTCATAAGGAAAAGGTGCCTGCTAGTAGTTGTAGCCAGTGTGGAGTAGTGGTTAGAGCAGGCATAGGCAAACTCGGCCCTCCAGATGTTTTGGGACTACAACTCCCATCATCCCTAGCTAACATCCCTAGAGAGGTTAGACTCCCCTTGTTGTCTTTCCACCAGCAGGAGAAGACTTTCTTGTTCCAACAGCCTTTGGGGAATGGACTGCTTTTAATGAAAGGGCTGGTGCTGTGCTGTTTTTATTTTAATTATTTGTATGGTTTTCATAGATTTATCTCTACACGTTTAATTCTATCAATATTTAAATGTGTTTCAATCATTGTTTTTGCCCTATATTTTAGCTGTTCTATTTTTAATCTGCAAGCCGCCTTGTCACTGGAAAAGCCAGGGTATGAATTAATAATAGTAATAATAATAATGTTAATCACAATTATTTGAATCTGTTGTTGATATTTTTGAAAAGCATTGATCCTTCTCCCCCTCCACCACAAACAATTGTTTTTCATTATCTTCTTTAATGCTCTGTCATGCTCCATCCATAATTTATTCATGTTAAAAAATCCTTTAAAGACACACACACCACAAACTCAACTGGTGCCATTTCCCAATGACAACACAGAAAAGAGTGATGGCCAGAAATGTTTGCCGCTGCACCCATGCAAATTGCTCTGGAGAAGTGGCAGTTGTAACAATGGACACAGCTGGGCACAGATGCTATTTCCTCCATGGGGCTTCTCTGTGCGAGGGATTTTCCAGCTTCTGAACCAGCCGTACGCTAGATGAAATGCGAACACGCACCAAGCCAACCATAATTAGTACATCAAATGGACTGAGAAGCCTGAAATGTTCCTGTTCTACAAATGCAGCTGTGGCATAATGAACTGTCTGCTCATCTCCATTTTCTTGTTATTCTTAGCAAAATACGACAGACTATGATATTATAGCAATCAGGATATGAGACATCAGAACAGCAACAGGGGCTTAACTAATAAGCAGAAATGTATGAGGAAAGAAGGAAAGAAGGAAAGAAGGAAAGAAGGAAAGAAGGAAAGAAAGTTAGTTTTTACAGGGCAACTGGATATGTGGCAAGGAAGATGAAAGAGATCACAAAAATGTATACTTGAATCGCTTAGGCGTGCAATTACGTAAATTGCTCAGTAAGGATAAGAGGGGTTGTAATCTTCTCCACATTTTAAATGATCATCTCCTAGGGGCTCAGACACCTATTGGAATGCTCTGATAAAAGGAAGTGCTGCTGAAATGCCACTTCAGCTGATAAAAACAGAACTCTCTATGAAAAACAGTAGTTTGGGATTACGACATAGCACCTACTAGCAAATCTTGGAAGGCTTATGGTTTGTAGCACATTGACAGAACAACATTTTTTTAAAAAACCAGCATCCACTTTTTCTTTTGCTTTGGAAGAGAGCACACTGTGGGAGCTGGCAAACAGTTACTGGCTGGCATTATATTCAGTTGGAGGCTGGAGTATTGGGACACGGCCTCTGAACAATTCAAGACAACCATGTCTTTCCAAAGACTTTCACAACCAAAGTATTCCTCAAGCTGGGATTTCTGGGCTTCTCCTAAGCTCACAATGAGTCCCTGTTACAGGAATCAACACTTGACCAGTTCTTGAAAATAGCAAAACAAAGTGCTAGATCAGACAATGCCAATATGGTAGGTACGCTACTGATAATGTTGGACTACATCTCCCATCATTCCTCACCATTGGCCATGCTAGGTCAGGCTGATGGAAATTAGAGTCCAACAACATCCCAAAGTCATCAGGTTGTCTAGATGTTGAGAGGAGCAACCATTTTTGTATACAGTATTTAACAAAGCACCCTGCTTCAGCCAGGTGGATATGAAACACAACCTGGTGAGGAAATTATACCTAATAAAACATTTCTTCCAAGTCACCAGCAAAATGGTGCTTGATTACCCTTGGTTGCCTTCATTCAGTTAACTTTCACAACATAACATACCATGTTTCTTACTTCCACTTCTTTACTACTTCTGCTGCCTTTCGACTTGCACTAGAATGGACTGGTTCTCTGAGGACATCAAAGGATCAAGACCATGATTCCCACTGGCTCTTTAGTAGGTATAGGCAGTATCCATCTGTTCCATGAGTACAAGAGACTTGCACTAGCAGGATGGAGATTTCCCTTCCTCTCCTCTCCCCTACAGCTCCCTGTTTTGTTGGGGAAACCCTCTGGTGAAGATTTGGAGGGGTGGGGAAGAGGAAACAGAGTGGGTGCTGCAGAAGTGGAAATCTGCTGCTGCTGCTTTTGAATAGGATTCAACCCTAGGGGATGAGATTCAGCTATCAAGCACCATCAGCAGAGACCCTGCATAGGAATCCAGCCTTAATATAGCTGATTGCCTAATACTACTAGTTTTACTGCATAATTTTGGAAACCCTGTTTTGAAAACTTTGGACAATACAACCAATAAGAATTAAATATTTGGGTGAACTGTATCAATGTGTCTCGGTGTACTGTTTATTATGTTGTAGATGGTAGCATCCAATCTTACAGACAGGAAAAAGAAGAAAAGTCAAAGCAAAAGCAAAAATCTCTACAGCAAGAGTTTTTAGGACAGGGTAAGAAAAGGGTGACTTTCAAAATTTAAATTGGATTCTTTAAAAATTCATGATACAGTCTCTTTTTTCTATAAAAAAACTTATTTAAACTGAAATCTGAATTTAATACAAACTTAGTTTTAAAAACTGAATCTGTGATTATTGTTTTTTTTTAAAATGAAACACAGCAAATAGACTGGTTTTGTGCCTGCATGTTCACTGGGGAAATATATATCATTTTTTTAGATCAAGGATTTTAAATGAGATGGAATAAATAAGGTATTTTTGTATTTATCAGTATGGGTTTCCTACTGGAAGCAAGGAACTCTAAAAACACGATAGGCCTTAAGTTCCAGGATACTCCGTCCTGTACCTCATTAGGAGTAATTACTGAACCCACCTGAGTAATATTTATTCCACACTTGGGGGACCTGTGACCCTCCAGGGGTTTTTGGACTCTAGCTTCAATGAGTCCCAGCAAATACAGCCATTGTTGGGAGCAATACAGTGGTACCTCAGGTTGAGTACTTAATTCGTTCTGGGGGTCCATTCTTAACCTGAAACTGTTCTTAACCTGAAGCACCACTTTAGCTAATGGGGCCTCCTGCTGCTGCCGCAGCCCCGGAGCACGATTTCTGTTCTCATCCTGAAGCAAAGTTCTTAACCCGAGGTAATATTTCTGGGTTAGCAGAGTCTGTAACCTGAAATGTATGTAACCTGAAGTGTATGTAACCCGAGACACAACTGTACCTGGAGGTCCACGGGTTCATCTTCCCTGCTTTATGCCCTCTAACTACCTGAGCACTGTAAACTGCTCAGTTTCCAATTTATGAAGATTCATGACTCCTCCAATCAAATAGCATATGTCCAGTCTAGGATGATTGGCACTTCAGGCAATTGGTCTTGCTTAATGTTCTTTGATGTGAACAGAGAGCATCCAAAAGACATCATGCAATTATGTGCGTGCACAAAGTCTCTCTCTCTCTCACAAACACATATACACTCAAAAGATAGTACAAAAGACATAGGATAGCGTGATAAATATCTCACACTCCTCAGTATCATAAAGCCTTTATTTAATTGCAAACCAATATGCTTTAATTGGAACTAATTAGTACTCATGTTTGTCCAGAAAATAGACAGTTTGTAAAGAAAACAGACAGCGTATAACATGGAAAACCTGATTTAAATCAATTATTCAAATCAGTTCCCCACCGCCAACCCGGTTATTTAAGTCTTGATTTCTATTATTCATTTAAGCCGCCTTCATTCAAATTATTCCACCCTGCTTTAGAATCCTTGCTTTGCTATAATTAAATGACCCACCTTTAATTCCAAATGGAATATCTTTATATATGATAGTCTCGGCTCCTACACACATACCAGAATCCTATTATACCTCAGGTTAATCACTATGTCCCAGTTACTGGACAGTTCAAGCATGAATAAGCTCTATGCAATTTAGTAGTTTATCTTTGTTTCAAACTTACCCAACAGCCCAGTTTTACACTGCTGCACAGGCTTCTGCCACAGAAGCTGAAGCAGCACTCTTTAACTTAGCCCTCCCATCTCTCCTTACTGCATCAAGTCTTTGGGGCAACATCACATCCACACATGACATGATGCTCAATGCTGCAGGTGGTCTTGTGAATGACCAACTTATGCCCTTGAGCAGCTAAATTTGCATCAGTACAAATGCTGATGCTTCTCTAATTATTCCATTGCAATGGAACATATGAGGTACAGGTAAAGGTAAAGGAACCCCTGACCGTTAGGTCCAGTCGTGAACAACTCTGGGGTTGCGGTGCTCATCTCACTTCACTGGCCGAGGGAGCTGGTGTACAGCTTTCAGGTCATGTGGCCAGCATGACTAAGCCGCTTCTGGCGAAACCAGAGCAGCGCAAGGAAATGCTGTTTACCTTACCGCCGGAGCGGTACCTATTTATCTACTTGCACTTTGATGTGCTTTCGAACTGCTAGGTTGGCAGGAGCAGGGACCGAGCAACGGGAGCTCACCCCGTCGCGGGGATTCGAACCGTCAACCTTCTGATCGGCAAGCCCTAGGCTCTGTGCTTTAACCCACAGCGCCACCCACTGAAATTGTGGTACCTTCAGCAGTGCACCGATAAAGAAACAGCAGTAACTGGCTATTCACAGTAATGGGGAAAAGATTAAAACGGAGGACGAGGAAGTGAGGAACACAAGGACATAGGCTATTTGTCCATTTAGCCCAGGGCTGGGTAATGTGTGGCTCTTTTGAGCTGTGAACCCCGTAAGTCCTAAACACTGCCCATACTGGCTGTGGCTGATGGTAGTTGGAATCCCACAGCATTTGAAGGGTGACAGGTTCCCCATGTCTGATCTACCCCAATATTGCCTACTGCGACTGACAACAGCTCTACAGGGGCTCAAGTTGAAGTCTTTCCCGTCATCTCTAACCAGCCCTTTTCACTGGAAATTCCAGGGAGTGAACTTAGCACTTCTGAGTATGAGCTTTATGGCTGAGCTACTATCACTCCCTTAACCCTATGAACTATTCATGAGCTACTTTTCCTATGCTCAGGGGAAAAAAATCATGGCAACCAAACAATCTAACATAAGGGTTTTTTGTTGTTGTTACGCCTCTTATTTTTCTTTTATCAGCCCAACATAGTCTAGCAGCAAAATCTATGTATATGGACAAGCATTTCATTGGATTCATCTAATGTAATTGCTTCATTATTCTGAGGCAAAAACAAAACCCTTCCAAAAGAAAGCTAAATCTTCAAACAGCAGCAATCCAATTTGGAATAAACAACCACAAGAAGAAACCGCACAGTAAAACACTTGCCTAGAACAATAGCAGCTATCACACCAGACTCAGCATGAATCTGTTATTAGGTTTCTGCGCCCCACTTAATCTTTGCCTGCCTGCTGATAATACAGTGTTTGATTGTAAAAGATAGTGAGGTAATCAAATACCAACCAACTAAGATGGAATAGAGGATCCCTGGCCGATCTGAAGGAGGCTGGATGTTTCGGTCCTGATCTATAGCTTGTATAGTTGGTGTGACATTGATTGGGTTCACACGTGCCTGGAATGAAAGTTAAACACATTATAACAGAATATTTACAAAGTGGGTTCTACTTAATAGTAACTAAGGTTAACTTGTGTATCGAATCTCTATAAAATAATGCCCTATGGTAGACAGATGGCATATAGTTGCACAAGCATATCCTTTTGCAATACTTTTAAACCTACATTTTAGGCACAATCTAGAACCATTGAAACCAACAGGAAATGTTCTATTGGTTCACAATTGGATACGCATATGCAGTCACCACTTATCTGGGTTTTGTTCACTTTGGTAAAGAGACTTAAGGTGTTCCTGGAGTGTTCGAGTTTATATACAAAAATGCAAATTGAGTATAGGAGGAGGCAGTTCAATACTCTCACATAGCAAGTCTTTTGCCCCAACATCAGTTCTCGAAGGAGAGACACTACTAGCTTCCCAGGTATAAGCAAGATCTGTGTTTGAGGCATCTGAAGTTTGGAATAAGGACACAGATCTTGCTTACATCAGCTGAGAGAGCAAAGGTATGCCATCTACTCCTCCACCCCAGTGCTCTGATGGGTTTCACATTCCTGGGAAGTTTCTGCAATTTCGTGGCTATTGGTTTCCATTTGATTTGAGAAAACTGATTAGTACCACAACTCTGGCATTATGTACTTCATTGTCCTCCCTTTTGAAAGTTGTACCCATTTTTAGACTGCAGGTATTTTAGACTGTAAGAAATTGGCTAATCTTCCAATTTTATCAAAGAGACTGATGCCATTTTCTAGTTTTCAACCAACTTCAATGTATCCACAACAGTTTTAAAACTGCACTGAACGGCGGCACAGATAAGAACAGATTTCATTGAGAGTGACAACCTTTAAAAAACTATATGAATACAGATCATCACCATCATTTGCTTGTACATATTTCATCAGTTCTTAAATCTACATTAAAAATAGCCTGGGGCATGAACCACCTACAGACAGATAGGACTTTTTTTTATGCATGTGATTGATTTATGGCTAAACTTCTCCCATTCTACTTTAACAGGTGGTACATTGGAGAGATTAAAAAAAGAGGCTTTAAATCTGAAGTCATTTTAACTATAATCCCACTGTTGCAATACATATAGGCTACTGTCAAAATGCAGCAGTACAGCCGCATAAAGGAACTGCCTTAAAAAAGATTTAAAACCCATGGGTTTTATGCGCACACACGTACCCCTTCAAGAATAGCTTGGTGTGATTCAAAGCATGTATGGAAAATGAGTCATAAATTTCAGAAATGGAATGTGGGGAAACCAAACCATTTTAAATAGCAGGTTTCTGAGTTTGGCATTATATACTTGTCATATAATATGACAGGAAGATAAACAGCGAAGTGCTTATTTAGAGGTGCCACTTTGGAACACATATGCTATAACTTAGCAGACTTCAACTTCCTATCACAACAATGTTAGATTTAAATTTTACTGGAGGATTTGATATCTTTTATTAAAGATCATTCATGATTTCCCCTTAAATGTGGTATTTAGGAGGAATCTAAAACAGAAGAGTAGCAGCATTCACCCGCTTTTGACAAAGACCTCCTCCCAAACCAACTACGGCTTCCACAAAGTGGTTCAAAGTGAAGCGGGTGTTCTAGAAGCTTTGAACCTGCTTCTGAGCTTTGATGCCAGGGATGGGCAGGAGCCCAAGGAGTGGGGGAATTTGTGGGCAACGGAGGCAGGTGGGGAGAATGATTCAGGGCAAGGGACCAGTGATTTGTGGGGTTCTGTGCTGCCCATGAAACAGCTGGTGGTGGAAGTGGGGAATCAGCAGGAAGAGACCAGGTAGCGGAGGAGGAGGCAGGAGAAGAGCTTCAGGAGGTCTCTGGATTTGGAGAGCGCGTGGTGCTCCCAGAAAGAGTATTTGGAGTCCTCTGCTGTCTCCTTGCTCAGGGAGGGGCTTGAAGTGGTGGGAGCAGCTGGAGCTGTTGGGTGCTTGAGAGCACCATGTCAGACAAGGGGGTTTAAGAAGGCAGGGAGGCAAGGCTACACTGTTGCTCCAACTGTCTGAGATGGGGGACACGTCTGCAGTCATAGGTTCCTTGGACAGTTAGTTAGCAGGAAGTGTTGTCTATCATTTGAATGTTAGGAGCTGATGTAACCAAGTGCTTTACCAATAAAGAATTAAAAATCTAGTCACTTGTCTTCATTGGTTTGAATGTGTTCATGACATTCATTGGGGCAGTTATCAAAGGCTCCATGTGGCCTTCAAAGTACCCCCTGCTATGGGCATGTAGCCCCTAGGCAATTCTTGCATTCCAACCCCCCCATTCTGTCTCCAACTATTTGGATAGGGAAAACAGAACAAAACAAAACCTGTGCCCACAAAAATGGCTGGTGCAGTGGGTTTCATGTTCTCTGCAGTATTTACTGCTGTAACTAGTTAAAACTTTTTGGTTAACCAAATAGGAACACTGAACGGAGCTCCTAGATACAATACGCTGTTGGTGCTGTTACACCACTTTGTGTTTTTACACACTTTGTAACATTGCATTTGTCAAGTAAGAACTGTGCAGTAAAAATTTGTTCACTAGGCTTTCCAGTTTGGCCCTGTTTATATATGGCATTAAGCTGCTTTTTGCACATTTATAGTAGTCTCCCAGATATCTGCATTTGTATGAATAATGCAGTGTATAAGACGGATCTCAACTGCAGCAGCTTCAAGGGCCTCTGGTGCATAAGGAGTCTGTTGCAGCTGTCAAGATTTGTGAGTTTCCTGTGAACTGGAGATATAATTCCAAGTCCTACCAGTGAAAAATCAGTCATTTGCTAACTTGCGTGGCAAGGCCCCCAAACCAGCCCCTCGTTAGAATAAAATTCACACTGACACAGAATTTTGGTTTAAGGTTATTGGGCAAATTTTAGGCCACAACTTTATTGATGATTACAAAAATGTGAGCGGTATTGGCTTAGGCATTGGCAAAGGACTATATTGGACTCCTGCCCCCTTTGCAGGAAGTCAGTAGGGGTAAACCACCCAAAGAGGAAGCCACATCGGGGGAACTCGCCTGTAGCTCTCCTCAGTGTCCCCAGAGGCCTGGCATGTCCCTAGCCCCTCAAGCAGACTTCGGACAGGATCCAGGCCCTGGATTCCTTTAACGGAATAGCCTTGGCCAATGGAGGGGCAGGCGAAGGCTGACCTCCCCTCCCCCACAAATCAATGAGCCAATGCCTAACCGCCAAACCTTACAAAGTTGTGACGATTGCTAAGAGGTAGGCTAAAACCAAGTGGCCAGTGCCAATCTGCCAAATGGAAAAATTCCCAAGACAGGCAATCAACCAAAGTCCAAAGCAAGGCCACATCTAAAATAAAGGATGGATGAACAGATGTTCGGCAGCGTGAAGCAGGTGCCTGACACGCCTCACGCTGCCACTTTAATATCCCCCCATGATCACCCCACACAAAAGTGATTGACCAAGAAGCTGGGGTGATTGTGTTGCCACCCGGGCATGACGGCATTACTCTGCCCATGCCGGGGGGAGGAACCGGCCTGGGGGCCTGCCCGCAACCAGGACCATCCTTAAAGATGATACCACTTCCCTTTGCCATTTAAAAAAACTACTATGTGCTACATTGTTTTTTAAAATGAACATTTTAAAAGTAAACAAGTGTTTGTGTGTGTGTGTGTATTTGTATCACTGCAAACAGAAAGATACATTCGAGACAATGTTAAGCACTTCAGCATTGGTAGCGGCATGAGAGATCTAAGCAAGTTAAATTGATGACATTTAGAAGTGCTTAACATTGGCTGGATTGTGTCCAAAAAAGTTTCAACATAAGAAAGTATGTTAATTAACATCAGATCATTTTTGCACCAATAAACAAGCACAGGCTGCACTACTACAAAAGGAATCACGATATTGCTGTTAGTCAATGTTACCTTTTCTTTTCTTTTCTTTTTTTAAAAAAGTATTCCTATTGACCTCTGTCTAAAATGCTATTGCTATGTTTAGGTGCAGAACCGTTATTCAAGGACATAGATGCCAATAGAATTTCCTGGGCCCAGTACACTGTATGTGGATTGGGACCCTCTCCATCCTGCTAACACTGCCCCACCCCCTCTATCTTTTTCTACTGCTTATGTACATATATTAACTAAGCCCAGTTTAAAAAGGTAAAGGCACCCCCTGACAGTCAAGTCCAGTCGCAAATGACTCTGGGGTTGTGGCGCTCATCTTACTTGGCTGAGGGAGCCAGCATTTGTCCACAGACAGTTTTTCTGGGTCATGTGGCCAGCATGACTAAGCCACTTCTCAAACAATGGAACACAAACACCAGAGCAGCACACAGAAACACCGTTTACATTCCAGCCAGAGCGGTATCTATTAATCTACTTGCACTTTGATGTGCTTTTGAACTGCTAGGTTGGCAGGAGCTGGGACCAAGCAACAGGAGCTCACCCCATCGCGGGGATTTAAACCACCAACCTTTTGATTGGCAAGCCCAAGGCTCAGTGGTAGACCACAGTGCCACCTGTATCCCCAGTTTATCTAGTTACAAATATAAAAGCAGAGCGAGGAGAAGCATGTATACAACCTTGTGCTCTTGGCGGGAAAAGCAAGATATAAATATATACCACATAGCACATAGATAAACTATGCAATACACTCCCATTCGAGGCAGCAATACCCACCAATTTGGAAAACCTACCGAAGCTGCCCAATGGTACTTTATTCCGTAAAAGCAGCCCATTTGGGGAGTGAATGAAGTAATGTGAACATAAGGAGTTTAAACAAACATAGCTCAGCATCTTTCTGCACCCAAGTTCACCTGATTTCTCTGCACCTCTGGGAGGGCCCGCTCCCAAGTCTTAGGAGGGGGTGGTCAACATTCCTTCTTCTGATTGCCTCGCAGCAGTGATGAAGTGATTAGGACTCCCTAGCAATGGGGCTGTCTGTGAAGTTCCAAAGCCTTTGGAGTAGTCTCCAGAATTTATTTTATAACTTTCTGAAGAGCTTTTTTATTTTATTTTAATGAAAGCAAAGAGTC